CACTGGAAAAACTGTTTGTGGATTTCAATTTAGAAAAAAACAACTGTTGCATATGTGGTCTTGAAGTGTTTCTTGTTTAACAATGACAATTAATTATTTTGTGTGTGTGTGTGTGTGTGCAGTTTCAGTCTCCTGCTATCCATCTACATCTGAACCTGCATCTCATCTACAACCATCTCCTCATTTGAACTCAGTATATTTAAAATGTTCAGAATAAGGACCGGTCGGATCACCGTGCCAGAACCTTGTGTTACCTTGTGCTATTCCCTCTTTGATCTTGTCACCAGTCTTGACTTCTTGTTTGCCTTGTCTCTTTTGCCTGCTGACCCTGCCCTCTCTGTCTGTTAGGATCTATACAACTCTGCTCTTGTCACCCTCCCCAGTCACACTTTCCCCTGAACTGAAAATCCCTGGGACCCATTTGGACTCCATCTGCTGTGTCCCTCTGACTTCTGCTTGTTTTGTCTCTTTGTTATTAGTTAGCCCTGTTCCCTGTCCTCCTGCTTGTATCGCACCTTCATTCATTGTAAATAAATTCCTAACTTGAGACAACGCTGAGTCCAGCCTGTTCCTCAACATAACATTTGTCTTTACTAGTTTCATACTGACGCAGCATTAATCTTTCCATCCAGTGCCTTTGTTGCTCCCATCTGAGCGCACTTGGGCACGTTGGTCTTCAAATGAGGTGTGGTCAAGCACGTTGTTGATGCATTGCTATCTTGAGGCAGTAAAAAGCGAATGACCGACAAAAATCTGGTCTGAAATCTGACAAATTTACATAGCCAAGTGCACAATGCACATACACTCTGCTTGTCACACACAGTCTGCTCAATCACCTTGCGCATGAATAGGAGCAGATTGCTATCCACTGCACAGAAGCATTCTCTCTTGCTACATGGCAAATCTGCCATTATAATAGAAATCCACCTATAGTGCAAACTCACCTGTAATGGGAGGTGGAACTGGTTGATTGCATGTTTTATCCAAAACACACCCATGATTCATAAAGAAACTAACCCTTTTGAACATTGCATCTGTTTTGCATTTTGAAACCAGGTAAGCAGATTTGGACACATGCAATTGCCAGTTTATGGTTGATTTCTCTCCTTTGCACAGAATGAAACAAGCTGTGGTACCTTTGCTCAGCTTTGTCGAGCCTCAGAGCTTCTGCTTTAATTGAGCTTAACTTTCTTGTTGCTATAATATGAGATAAAAAGGATATAAAAAAAGGCAACTACAACACAATAAGGCATGTGTAGGTGATAGTTTCTGAATGCAATGTGAGCTAAGACAGCTTGTTTTTTCCCCCATTTATTGTATGTGTTAATGTGAAGAGAGTGTTCCTTATAGTTGGAATTCAGGGCACAGTTATTCACTGGCAATATTGTAGTCAGGCAGTGGCATCAGTGTATCACCAGTAGGTGCCAGTGTATGTTCACGAAAGGTCACAGAGAAGTCAGATAATGAGAATGCCAGTCTTGTTGTAATTCTAAAGTAAACTCTCGCATTTTATAGGGTATTGTAGTATTGGACCATT